TATCTATTTGTACCGGTTATTTTCCTAAAGTCATTGTCACTGCACCAAGTCGTTGCATATGAGATAATTGTGGTTATGTATTTCTAACAACTTCTTTTTGTTTTATAGAAGCATCCTATTTAACAAAATACATATATTAAACTTATTTAATCATGTAAAGAATAAAAATACATAATTAAATTTGGTACATTAACTTACTCTTGCTATGATCAATTTTGTCAGTCGAATCGGCCAAAGAATAAAATGTCATGGGGTTTGTCTCACTATCTCGAACTTTTACAACAACCACTCATATCATGTCATCTTGAATCGTCTGGTGGTGAATGATTGATCCTATTGTATAAATTTTACCTGAAGAGAACACATAAATTTAATTAGAATAGATCAAATACAAAATGAAAATTATAATAATATTTACCTAAGACAACCAAATACTCGGGAGAATCATCAATGTACAACTCGTAATCAATACGAGCATCAACACTAGCTTCCCTTGATCTATTAAGATCAACATGTGGAGGTGTAGGGACAATAGAAGGTTGAATAGAGACTCCCATGGATGCTAACTCTACTCGTATGTTTAATATTAACTTTGCTCTCAATTTGTAGTATAATTCTTTTATAAGCTCATTTTTAGAGCTTTCTTTTGGGCGTCACTAAGTTGCGATTTTCTAATTTGTTGAGAGGAGCAGCAAAGAATTGTCGGATACCTACCCTTTTTCGAACAACTAGAACACGACTTGGATGCTCTGGACGACCAATGATAGCAACTAATATATTTTCACGCTCTTGTAGGAAAAATGATCCTTGTATGTTTTGCTCTACTAATTGATCCTAAAACACAGACATTTAAATACACATATTAGCAAATACATCCCAAATGTAATAGTAATATAAACATATAAACATAAATTACTTACCATTCGCTCAGCTACAGTTCGAGCTTCTTCAGATGTGTACTCCCCAAATGATTTTTAATGTGCTCTCTTCCACTTATCATGACAGGAAGGAAGAGAAATCATACTCAAATCAGACTGGTTAAAAGCAATAAAGGAAGAGACTTCTCTTATCATGGTCTGTTCCAACTTATCATAACTCCCACGAGATAATCTATGTGAATGAACATTCTTTTTCTGGATTCCTGAGCAACTCTTCTTTTTTTCCTGTTATATTAGTGTATTAAATTATGTTATAAAATAATACAAATAATAAACCAATGATTTTACTTGAAAAAAAGGATCTAGACATTTCTCTCCAAAGGTCTGTCACGTCTCCTCATCACGTGTGACATATACATCGTCTACTTCATTCTCCACATTCAAGGTTGGCATATTAGTGGAAAAAGATGGAATCTCACTTATATCAAGTGCAAAATCATCATTCTCATGACTAATGGTTCTTCCCTGGAGAACTATAGACCATCTTTTATCAGCGGGATCAGTGACATAAAATACTTGTTTCGCTTGAGATGTCATGATGAATGACTCTTCTTTATAATCCATCTTTTCAAAGTCAACTAAGATAAAATCTATGTCATCGGATTTGACATAACTATTTCTATCCACCCACTTACACTTAAAAACAGGTATTGTGAAGCTTGTGTAATCAATTACCCATATATCTTTAATTACACCACAGTAACACATTGACACCATAATAGGATATTTATCTTTTAAACTAGAAAAATGCATTGATTTAGTTAGGATAGTTAAGGATATTGTATAGAAACAGAATGCACAACATATAACATTGTGTAAAGACAGAGAACACAATATATATACCACAAAACACGTGTGTATGGTTAAGACGAGACAATCAAAAGGCCAAGATCTACGAAAACAACTCATATACGATACTATAAATAGACAAAAGTTCTAAGACATGAATTGAATCTTTAATCTCTGTTACACACCTTTCATTCACTTAGTGACTTAAACATGAAAATATCTTTTGCAGACACATCGACCACTCTCCGACAAGAACTCAATAGAAACGATCCCTTCTAGAAAGATTCCCAACCAACAAAAAAATAGTGTAGGAATATCCAAACATAGTACTTGAATTTTGTAGGAATATCCAAACATAGTACTTGAATTTTGTAGGATATTCTCAATTATATAAGAACAATATATATTAAAGAATTTTATATTTCTAAATAAAAACATAATTCTACGTTATTGTATTAATATTGTTAAGATTTATAATTTAATGCGTAAGATTTAGATTATTTATTATTATGTTATCATGATTTAAATTTTAAATAAAATAATGATACATGAATATTCAACACTTTTAAGATTTTTTTCTTCAGGTAGCATCCTATTAAATTTATAATTCAGGAATAACATCATTTTATCAATATTTACCTGACTAGCATGCTATTAAATTTATAATTCAGAAATAATATCATTCTATCAATATTTACCTAACTAGCACTATTTTTACATACACGATTGAAATTCGGTTCCTAGGAGGCCGAATTCGACCTCACTAATTAATATAATTTTTAAAATAAAATAATATTTATTAAATATAATAATTAAATATAAATATATATATTTTATATAAAACAAATATAAAAATATTGTATATATATATATATATTTAAACAACTTATTTATATAATTATATGAAATAAATATAAATATATTTTTTAAATAACATAAAAATATATGTATATAATTATATTATTAATATATTTTTATAAATATAGTAAAAATATATTAAAATATAATAAAAATATTTATATATTTCTATAAAAAATATTATTTTTACTTATTAAAATTAACTTATATTAAAAATATATTTAAATAATATATAATTTATTTATGTAAAAATGTTATACAGAAATATATAAATATATATTTATTAAATTTTATTATATTTATAAAAATATAAATAAGTATTTAAATATTATATATATATTAAATATATTTGTTTTTACTATATTTATAAAAATATATTAATAATATAATTATATAAATAATTTAAAATATTTATATATAATATTTATATATATTTTTTATAAAAAATATATATTTATATTTAATTATTATATTTAATAAATATTATTTTATTTTTAAAATTATATTAATTAGTGAGGTTAGAATTCGGCCTCCTAAGAATCGAATTCTAATTGTGTAAGATAATTGTGCTAGTGAGGTAAATATTGATAGAATGATGTTATTTCTAAATTATAAATTTAATAAGATGTTAAATGTTTGACTTTTTATAAAAATATGTTACTAATGTAAATATTACATACTATATATGCAAATTTATGTTAAAATAATATTAAGCGGAAAAAAAAATCACACTTTTAAAGATTTTTTTTCTTTTTCTTATTATATAATTTTTGTTAATAAAAACAAAAAAAATTAATGCGGATATATTTAAATTTATACGACTCCAATGCATCTGGCGTTCCTCAGCAAGTTTGGCATCATGACTTAATTCGTGTGTAATCCATGTGCACGAACCCACTATTATGTTCAAAGCATTGGTTGGTTGGTTGGTAGATGCGTGTAAGGATATAGACTAAGAAGGAAGTTAAAAAAAAAAAGTATTTCTTATATTCCACTTTATTTATATTTTTCAAGTTAATATATATTTAAGTTGTTTCAAGGTGTAAAATGGATAGACATAAACTTGTTATATTAATTTCCACTACAAAATTTGTTTTAAAAACATATCACCACTATGTTAGATCAAACTAATTGACAAAAACAAAGTAAAAATGCAATTAATACTAAAATAAAACATATTTGAAGCCTTGAAATTTCGTAGAAAAGTTACAACTATGTTATCTATGTTTATAATATTTTATAAAAAAATTAACTTTACGTTAATAATTTTTTTTAGTATTTTACCTCTAAACAATTACATTAAACCATTATTTGTTGACCTAGTTTTGATGGTAATTATACTTTAACAAATATACAATAAATAACATGTCTTTTAATCATGTCCTGTCAAAATGACGAGGTTTCTTGTTCTGCGACGTATCTTTTGAATAGTTTTTAATGATAGTCCATGCTTATATTTCTTTAAATTCTCTTTTATCCTTCTAATGATGTTAACTTCCTTTCTAATCAACAAATACATATATAGTAAGAACAAATTATAAATATTCAAATTTTTATTATTGTACAGCATGTGCTATTCATAAGATTTTACTGCACAGTTCAAATTTTTAAACGGCAATTGGTTACGTTCTTAATAATACACACGACTTATTACCAAGTTATGGGCATGGACGAAATATTATGTGCAGGGTTTGGTTGGTGAATACGAGTAAACCCTAATTCGAAAGAGATGTTGGCTATCATTATTATGACTATATATGGCAATGCCACATCCTTGGAAATTATCTGACTACATACATTCCTGGGAATCTCTCAAACATTATATTATTCGCAACATTACCTACAAGATTGACTTTCCTGCGGATTTAACAGACACAACACAATGTTGTCAGATATTCCTTAAACAATCCACGTTAGTCTAGTTATTCTACTTTTTTTTCTTGCGTTCTGTGTCTTATGATTGCTGGGAAGCTACCCCACCATTGACAGTTTAAAATCATATCCAATTCGTTATCAGATAAGTCAATTACCAAACAAATATTGCTAGCAATTTAAAGAAATAAACACAATATTCCTATGAATAATTGCATACATGCACGATGATTTATACTTGATGAATGTTCGTCCGAAATTCTTAATCAAATACATTTCATATGCATAGCAGTTTTAGTTAGAGTTGTTGACTATGTTAATGGTAGCCACGGCATCAAGACAAAGTAGGTAACGAAAATTCCTTCAAGTTGACCTCCCATATGCCATGCACTATCACCACATTAACTCTGATCGTTTTAATGAGACAAAATTGTCACCAAGCCCTATACAAGAAGCCCAACTATGTATGCATGGATCACATCTTCCATCCAATCTTCAACCTACAATTAACTCTTATTTGTTATTCTTCCATCCAAAATACCAATGGGTATGGCTTTTAACAGCTTGTATGTTTGCACACTCTGTGTTTCCCTTGTGCTATGCTTCTTCACGTCGATTTCCATAGCTGATAATAGCCATGCAGTCGTTCCACCAGAAACCATATGCTACTCAACCTTGGACCCTTCTTACTGCAAATTTGTTCTTGCCAATCAAAATGGTAGCATATATGACTATTGCCACATTTCTGTTCGAAAATCCCTGTCCCAGTCGCGTAAGTTATTGAACGTGGTGTACTCATATCTTCAAAATCCCTCTTCTTTCTCCCAACCCACCATCCGAGCCCTTGAAGATTGCCAATTACTTTCTGAACTGAACTTTGACTACTTATCAACAACCCATGACACTGTCGATAAAGCTAGCGATGTTCTTCCCACCTCTCAAACAGACGATGTTCACACATTGCTTAGTGCTGTTTTGACAAATCAGCAAACTTGTTTAGATGGACTTCAAACCTCAGTTTCAGATACAAGAGTGAAGAATGGTCTTTCTTCCCAACTCTCGGATGATATGAAGCTTAATAGTGTCTCGCTTTATTTGTTCACCAAGGCTTGGGTTCCTGAGAACAAAATATGGCAGCACCATGGAGCAGCCATCCAGAATGATGGATTACCCTTGAAGATGCCAAACAAAGTTCGTGCCATTTATGATTCTGCTAAAGGTCAGGGGAGGAAACTACTTCAAACATCGGATGACAGTGAAAGCGTGGTTGTGAGTGATATTGTGGTGGTTAGTAAAAATGGAAGTGGAAACTTTACCACCATAAACGATGCCATAGCTGCTGCACCAAATAACACAGCTGTTACGGATGGCTACTTCATTATTTTTATCACCGAGGGTGTATATCAAGAGTATCTATCGATAGCGAAAAACAAGAAGTTCTTGATGTTAATTGGAGACGGAATCAATCGGACAATTATCTCTGGTGATCACAACGTTGTTGATAGCTTTACAACATTCAACTCAGCAACATTTGGTAAGCATAACATCCTAAATAAATATAGCTAATGCATGCTTTTTTGGTATGAACGTGAATATATATCTGAAGTTTAAATAGTCCTCTTAATTACATTCAAATCACCCTTCGCACGTGTTAATTTGTTGGTGATATTTTCAGCTGTGGTAGGAGAAGGATTCGTTGCAATGAACATAACATTCCGCAACACTGCTGGGCCAAGCAAGCACCAAGCAGTTGCAGTAAGAAATGGAGCAGATATGTCCACCTTCTATAGCTGTAGTTTTGAAGGGTACCAAGACACTTTATACACTCATTCTCTGAGGCAGTTTTATCGCGAATGTGACATATATGGCACAGTTGACTTCATATTTGGAAACGCAGCTGCTGTTTTTCAAAACTGCAACATGTATCCCCGCCTTCCCATGAGTGGACAGTTCAACGCCATCACTGCACAAGGTCGAACTGATCCAAATCAAAACACTGGCTTTTCCATACAAAATGCCACCATAAAAGCAGCACAGGATTTTGCTCCAATGGTTGGTAATGCGGAAACATACCTTGGAAGGCCATGGAAGGAGTACTCAAGAACTGTTTATATGCAGTCTTTCATGGATAGTTTGATAGCTCCTGCTGGTTGGCATGAATGGAATGGGAATTTCGCACTCAGCACATTGTATTACGCAGAATATGATAACATGGGTCCCGGTTCAAACACTGGCAAACGAGTGAACTGGTCTGGGTATCATGTTATCGATGCCACTGATGCAGCAAATTTTACTGTGTCTAACTTCTTGGATGGGGATGATTGGGTGCCTCAAACTAGCATTCCGTACCAGGCATCTTTGTAATAATAATTGGAAACTTTACTTTGATTAATAGTTGTCGTACACTATAAACTATGTTGAATATGCTGTTCCATTTCGATTCAGCCACATATATAAATGTGGTCATGAATGAGTGAATTGGCGAAATCTGTTTAACGTTATAAATGAATATGAAGGTGCATATTTATCTTTTTCCTTTATCTTCTGGAATGACTAGTTTGGAACAGGATCATGAATACACCCATAATTTTTACAATCACCAAAATGATACCCAAATTCACATGCTTCCGATTGTCCACTCCAAAAGATTAAAAAAGTAAGATGGGTGCAAAAAGAAATCTCAGGGTGCAGAAAGCAACTACCAAATTGAAGCATCGCGGACCGAGTTTCCAGTGATGGGCTGTACGTTTAATTTGAGACAAGAGTCCATTAAGAATTTTGATTAGGAAAATTTAATTAGTTGATCTTTAAAATATGGCGTCGATTAAACTTTTGTTAAACGTTTAATCTTGTGATAAAATTCAAGTACTTTAGATAACATTTGTATTTCTATGTTTTTTCATAGCCATAAAATTTATATAGTGCATAATTTTTAATATATACAATATATATCGTTTATAAATATTTTTAAAGTTAAATTTATATATTTGCTAGCTTCAATGTGAATAGAACGTGCTTCCTTTGACTCGGATTGGATTTGGATACAAACAACTTGCTTGAGTTTTTTTATCTGCAGTAACAAAATAATAATTTTATAACGAGTGATTTTGACTTTGGCAAATTCAGATTTTATAAATGCACCAAACTAATCATAAATAAGAAATATTAACATTGAGCATGTGCTGAACTTCGCTGATAGTGGCGGGTTCTATCGCGATGAGATGAAGTAACATCTACACAACTTTGATTATTATAAAAGATAATAATTATAAATATAAATCGTATTATATAATAATATATTTAAAGAGTATTTAATTATTCAGTTTGCGCGTTCCATGATGATTCGAAACGTCGCAGCAGGGGCATGGGTGTCTATTTTTTTCAAAGAAATTGTGTCCAAAATATAACTGTAGTGAATCCGTAACCGTCAGACTTTGGACTCTTCTTCTCTGACTCATCCTTGCGTTGTGATCGATCCCAGCTTGCCAAATTTGGCAGATATTGTTTACTCAGCAATTTCATCAACGTGTGGGTCCTTCACCGCCATAAACATGCCCCACCACGTACCTAGCTATATACAAATGTCAAGACCAGACTTTACGCGTTAACCACAAGGTCAAAACAACACACTCTTCGGATCTAACTTTCCAAATTCCAATACAACACCGCCATATTAACAAAATAAAAATCGATTCTTTTAGTCCGAACCAATGTCTGCTCAAATCAAACCACGTTATGAATTTGTATTTCCCATTTTAATCCTTTTTCAAATTTTCATTATTCTTTTCCCCCTATCACACCTTTTAATTTCAAACAGTTAGGCATTAATGTGAAGACAACTCTTTTACCAAACTCTATGCCTTTCAGCCCCCAATTCTTGTTGTTTTCCAATATCCACTGGCTTCCACTTTTCAATATACTATTCTTTCAAATAATGAGGTTTACTATTTTATGACACACGTCTATAGATGTAATTAATTAAATATTTTTATATTGTAAACTTAGTATTATGTTTTGCATTAGACACACTATATAAAAGAAAAAACTTTCATTCAATAATAAATAAATTTTGCTCAGCAAGTTCTGCAAAATTTTAGGTCATGAACAAGAATGTAAATATTCTTTATGAAAAAGAACCCTTTACCTCATTTTTCTTGTCAATGTTATGCACTCATAGTTTGGCAACTGTCCATTTTATTGTTTTTGTATTTTAATATTCACTATCAAATGTCATCCATAACATAAATGTATATTTAGTAATAGTTTAACATCTATCCTTAAATGTAATAATTTTAATATTGTCAATCGATTATAAATTATTTTAGGTCAAAGTTAATAAACTATTTCTACCTGTTGATATATGATTGAATATAATGGAGAAAGATTTTGCATAAGATTTATCAAATAGAGAACATGATCAAAATATTTAAAGATAGACATAAAACGCACCATTTAGTTAAAAAAATTTATAAAAAAAAGTTGCGTCCTTAATTATGTATCAATTATTACTCCATCCTGTACAAACCTTTATTCATTGTAGTGAATGCATGTGTACTACCAGTAACATTTAGATTCATTGAAGTGGAACAAGACAAAGGATTCGTTAGGGTCACCAATTAATTAAAATCACCACCTACTACACACTTCATAGATACATAAATTTATTAAGAAAATCCTAGTGGGAAATCCCGTCGTTACATTTTCCAAGATGCGTGTCATGTAATTCGATGCTTATTGACAAAGTCTACATTGGTTGACTAATGACTATTCCATTAATTTTCTACTCTACTATAAATCTTTAATTATATCTACTTTGCAACCCTGGTCAACCTTCAGCAGCAGTAAAACATGAAAAAAAAAAAACAATTAAACCCATAATCAGAGGTCTCTCTCACGTTAAAAGTTGTCCCTCTCCACCTATAAATTCATCGCCAAACCTAGTTTTCAAGTCACCAACACTTAACACACAAGAACTCACTACTCTTGTTCTGTCAAACCAACATGGCTTTCAAGCTTTCTTATTATCTCTCAATATTTCTCTTTCTCTTACCTTTATTTGCATCAATGAAAGTTTCCGCAGACACTATTCCAAATCCTACAACTCCTGTCTCCCCTGGAACCGCATGCAAATCTACCCCAGACCCGTCCTATTGCAAATCCGTTCTCCCTCCCCAAAACGGCAACGTTTACGACTATGGCCGGATCTCCGTGAAAAAGTCACTATCACAGGCTCGCAAGTTCTTGAGCCTTGTTGATAAATACCTCCAACGACGTTCTTCTCTTTCCGCCGCCGCAATCCGTGCACTTGAAGATTGTCGTACACTCGGGGAACTCAACTTCGATTTCCTTTCGAGTTCCTTCCAAACCGTGAACAAGACGACGAGGTTTCTCCCTAGTTTTCAAGCCGACGACATCCAAACCTTACTCAGCGCCATTCTGACCAACCAGCAAACATGCTTGGACGGTCTCAAAGACACTGCCTCTGCTTGGAGCGTGAGAAACGGTCTCACTGCCCCTCTTTCCAACGACACCAAACTCTACAGTGTCTCACTCGCTCTCTTCACCAAGGGTTGGGTTCCCAGAACCAAAGTCAACGCCATGCACCCTACCAAGAAACAACAAGGGTTCCATAACGGGCGTCTTCCGCTTAAGATGTCGAGCAGAACCCGTGCGATCTACGAGTCTGTGAGTAGGAGGAAGCTCCTTCAGGTCTCGGTCGCTGAGGAGGTTGTGGTGAGGGATATTGTGACGGTGAGCCAAGATGGAAGCGGCAACTTCACCACCATCAATGATGCCATTGCTGCAGCTCCTAATAAATCTGTCTCTACCGATGGATACTTCCTTATCTATGTCACTGCTGGTGTTTATGATGAAAATGTGTCCATTGATAAGAGGAAGACGTACCTGATGATGGTTGGGGATGGCATCAACAAGACAATTATCACTGGCAATCGCAGTGTCGTTGATGGCTGGACAACCTTCAGCTCCGCAACATTAGGTAATGATAATCTTCAACTACTTATTATAGCTATGATGTGAGAAAAACTCCCATTTTAAAATACTTCTATTATCAATCACAATTTATTAAACAAAAATGAAACATATACAAATTTGCTATTTTCATCTTTACTATAACCAATTTGCTTCCTTGTTAAAACTTCTTTGCCGTTAACTTTGATACTTCCTCCATTATTTGATCAAAACGATATGAGAAAGGAAAACAAAGGTAGAAAGTGTTACCTTTTAATCACGCTTACATTTTCACGGAATTAGGGAAATAAGAAATAGAGATATAAGAAATTCCTATTTATAAAAGTTACACAATCTTAAAAATCATGCATCTTAGAATGTAGGTAATATGGACAATGCTTTTACTCTAAAAAAATATCGAAAAAGAATCATCTTCCAAAGAGCATATATCTGATAAATTTTTCACCAATGATGCAGCTGTGGTAGGACAAGGATTCGTGGGAGTGAATATGACCATCCGCAACACCGCCGGAGCCGTGAAGCACCAAGCAGTGGCAGTTCGAAACGGAGCAGATTTGTCCACGTTTTACAGTTGCAGCTTCGAGGGGTACCAAGACACATTATACGTTCATTCCCTGAGACAATTCTACAGGGAATGCGACATCTACGGAACTGTAGATTTCATATTCGGAAACGCTAAGGTGGTGTTCCAAAGTTGCAACATGTATCCTCGTCTCCCCATGCAGGGTCAATTCAACGCCATCACTGCGCAAGGAAGAACCGATCCAAATCAAGACACTGGAATTTCTATCCACAACTGTACCATTAGAGCAGCTGATGATTTAGCTTCCAGCAACGGTGTTGCAACATATTTGGGAAGGCCATGGAAGGAGTATTCTAGAACAGTTTATATGCAAACTTCTATGGATGATTTGATCAACGGTGCAGGGTGGCGTGAATGGGACGGTGATTTTGCATTAAGCACTTTGTATTACGCAGAGTATAGCAACACTGGGCCAGGCTCCAACACCACCAATAGAGTGACGTGGCCTGGTTATCATCTGATTAATGCCACAGATGCAGCCAATTTTACAGTCTCCAATTTTTTGCTTGGTGATGATTGGTTACCTCAGACAGGAGTATCTTACACCAATAACTTGATATAGAAGATTCACTCATATCATTCACTTTGTTCTTTTCTTCTGGTATTTTTTGTATCCTTAAAAAAATAAGCTGGCCAGTGCCTGTACTCTGATCTACTAATACCCCTCCCAAATGTTCAAACTTCAAAGCATATTGTTTCATTGAAAATGACTGTGATTAAGAATTATAAAGCAAATATATTGTATTGATTTTTTCTGTCCCATTCACAAATCTTTAGTCATTAATCAGATAGTGACTTTTTTCTGGACAAATCAACCCCTGATTTTGACTTCTTTGTAGCTTACCAAAGGAAAAATGTACTTTTTACATCACATTTGTACAACAAAATTTACAATGAAGAAATTAAATATATAAAATCAAATAATGTGATAAAAATGAAAATTATTATAAAAGTTAATGTAAAACATTGTAACATGATTATGTAAAAAGATAAAGCTGGATGAGCATTTCTAGTAAACATTCAGAAGATATGGTGTAACATAACCACATAAAAAACAAATAATAAATATTAAAGGAATATTAAAGTTTAAAATAATGGTTCTTACGTATCATTAAAGAAGGCAAATATAATTTGGTTACCGTGTGGACGATTTCTTTGACCAAAAACATTTGAGAATATGTTTTTATATTTGTATTGTAAATAAAAAAAATTGTTGATAACCATCTATTTGAAATAACTTATACTCAACGGCTGTTATTAAAGTTGCATGTACGTATGTTGTAGAGTATTAAATCATGTACAGGATGACAATATTAATATTACACTAATAGAATTTTTTTCTATTACATAGATTCTTTTAGAATCTCGCGTAAAAGTTCACAAAGGTAATATATATATATATATATATATATATATATATATATATATATATATATATATATATATATTAATAATTCCTCCTTGTAAATAAATTTAGAGTGATAATATATGAAACAAAATATCCATTATATAACTTTCTATATTAATTTAATAATTCTAAATAGATAAAAATAATAAAAAATAATACTATATTATTAAATAAAATTGTATACCAATATTATATTATTAAATAAAATTGTCTAATTGTTATTTATAAAAAAAAGGTTGTCGAACAATTTTTTTACATAATAAATAAAAAAAGTGATTAATTGATAATAGATAATCGAAAGAATTACTATTATAATAATATTAATAAAAGTAGTTGTTATTTGGAGGTAGAAAACTAAACCAGTTGCAAACATTTCTCATTTCAAAATTCACATAATTCTTTTTATAATTAAAAAAATTACGCACCAAACACCATTATATATAATATAATAAATGATACTCCTAACTATTAAAATATTTAAGTTTTAAAGTAAAAATAAATCGAATCATCTTTTTAAGCAAAATATATTAATATCAGAATCACATAATAGCTTAAGAGACCTGTAACATTGATTAAATATATGATAATTAAAATAAAAAGGTGGTATGTTTTCCAATATCACCATGTCTTTATTATTATCATTTACCAACAATATATTAACTGTCAATTTTCTTTTTCGCGTCAAAGCTGTAGAAGGAGAAGGAGAAAATGATACAGAGATGATCCAAATTCATGTAATAATTGTCAATATAGATTCGACCTTTCATTACTGTTGTTTGTGTAATTTCTGAAGCACTCTGCATTTTTCAGGAGCCATCATTTTCCCAAGTAACAAGGAAAAAGAAAAAGACAGAAGCATGAAACATGAAGTACGGAGTTTAACACCGTAAAATCACGGAATTAATATGAAGATTAAGATTGACATGCACAGGATGGATAGTGAAGACGAGGGAAAGAGTTACAGGAAACGGTATATGGATGGATCCACAATAGTGGAGGTTTAGACTAACTTAAGTGGATTACGAATATTTGGAATCTTGATTGGAATATTGATTGTATTATGAAGTGGATTATTACTTGGACAATTATTACTTGGATTGTTGAGGAGCGAGATGACGGAGATGGCAATGTTGCAGAGCTTGCGGAAGACGGCGCTCTGAACGGAGAGAATGTCGTCATCTCCGGGGATAGAGGCGTCGCAGGTGTCGATTGCAGCCAAGGCAGCTGTGAGCCAAGCCTGTATGTCAGAGTCGTGGAAATCGACCAACAGGGCAGCAATGGTGTCCTCCAGCTGGCTCTCGGCGTCCAAGATGTTCACCTTGCAGTCGGCCAAGCCTTGTTGGACATCAGGGTCAAGGTGGTCGTCGTTGATAAGCGTTTTGGCCTCGGTGAGGATGCTGGAAGCGTTTTTGGCAGCAACCCTAAGGGCAATGACTGCTAAGCCTCTGAGGTCTGCATCAGGGCTTGTGAGTGGGTCGGATGAGAGGACCTGAATGCAGAGGTTTTTGGTTGGGGACTTTTTGCATACCTTATTTATTAGATCCTTTCCTTTTAAATTTTCCTGTGCAGCAGCCTGGTGTGCCATTGCCGCCACGCACAGAACGAACACCGAGAAGAGTTTTGTGGTGCGTTCCATTTTTATTCCGGAAAGGGGTGGCCAAGCTTCTTTTTTTTTTCTTCTTCTCGAGTTTGATTTCCTGTGCTGCACACCAGGACGATGAATCACTGGGCCACTGGGGAGGAATTTATAGTGGGAGACTCCGTTCGTTTAATCCCTTCATTTCAGGACCATTTCATTAGCGTCCAACCATGTTTTGCCTAATGAGGTTGTGGCACTCCTTCTCTTCCTGCATCTTTCTCTATTTTTGGCTGAAAACTGCATCTACTTCCCCATGTTAGGCCACTTCTTCTGGTGCATGGTTAAAGGGCCGTTGAAAAGGCTTCTTTGTCCTCACATAAAAAATATTCATAGTAACAAAGATAGAAACTTTCAAGATAAATTACAAGGTTTCATAAAATATATGTCTTCACTTTTCAAAAAAGTGTCACAAAATCTAACACTTCAATCATCCCTATAACCAACTCACCAAAATTAAAACTCACGTACCAGTTTTGTTTATCAGAGGAGCTTTTGTTGTTTTATAAGCTAACCAAGGAGTGTTGTTGCTATCCAAACTGAAAACTTGGCATACATAGCTGATTGTTGAGGCTAATTGTATGAATTAGCCACTAATTCATCGTAGTTTTCTTTGGTTATTTGCACTTTGAGTGCATCAGCAAGCAAACTACTTGTGTGTAATTTGTCTTTTTCTTATGCCCGCCATAATAGCTCTCAAAGCTAATTTAGACAAAAATGAAAATCCCGCTTTTATTAAAACTTGTTATTTTGTTTCGAATTAGTCTTGATAGTGGTGCTAATTACCTATAATTTGACATAATTTCAACTAGCTCTTCAACAGTGTAATTTCTACTTGCATGTTAAGCTTATATTCATTTTCTTATTAAACTTTAAACTAACACAGATAATCTCTCAGGCAGATAATTATTCATTCATATTTATTTAAGCATTAATATGAATTTTTAATAGTGTTTAAATACGTAACTAAAAATATCTTCTTCTTTTTTATATTTTTATAGAAATGTTGCAATTTAAAGAAAAATGTTGCAACTTAAACTTGACAATAGCAAAGGTCGAATAAAATCAATTATTGAAAAATCAATATTTGCAAAGAATGCATCTAAATTGAAAGCGATGTAAAAGAAAAGATAAAAGAATTGCACAAACGTAAATTTCAAATTAAGACAAATTCAAAAAGTAAATGAACATATGTATAAATTTAAATCTAACTAAAATAAGTAAAAGGTATAAAAATTTAGTGGTAAAGAAGTAAATATAAATGAAAGAACGCAAGAAAGATTATAGTGGTAAAAATAATTATTTTTTTATTAGTATCTAGAGGTATAAATATGTTTAACCTGATTTGAAAAATTAGAAAAATAAATTAAGTGAAAAAAATGGTAATCTTAATTCAATATATTTTGACTTTATCCGTTTAAATCATAACTGAACTTAACCCAGAATAATTCACAAATTTATCAATAATCTATTTTATAAAGTAATAATAATTTTAAAATAATTTTATTTTATTTAAAATATATATTATAAATTAATTTAATAAAAAATTTACTTATTTTAAAATAAATTTTTATCAACAACTTAATCCTATCTAATGATTAAAATTAAAATTAATTATTATTATAGATTAATAATAATAATAAATAATAAATTTTTAATTCCTATTTTAATATTAAATAAATTTATTCTCTTATAATCTATATATTAAAATAATTAATTTTATTAATATAATTTAAATTTTAAAAATATATTTTAAATTAAATAAAATTTAATTTATTTGATCTAATATAAAATCATATTAAACTAAAAATTATAATTATCTTAAAATAATTATAACTATTTTAAAATATAAGTATAATTGATTTTTTTTTACATTTTTAACATATAGAGTTAGACCAAACCGGACACACCGCGGCTACTTTTCCAGCTCTAATAGTGAGGAATATAGGTGTTACATATTTCACAATGTTTTTTATATGGATACATAATTTGTTTCATTTTTAGTTTAATATAGTTTTAATTTTCCTGTATACAACTTAAATGATGCGAATGGAAATATGTTATAGTAAAAAAAATAATAAAAAAAATATATAATTTATATGTATAATATAAATTATATATTTATATATAAATAAAATAAAAAATATTTATAATTACTAAATATTTTTTACAGAATTATTATCACTTAAATAAATAGTTATCTATTCTTATATTTATAATTTTAATTTATATGTATATTAAATTTTAATTATATTATTTTGATAAAATAACTAAATATAAAAATAAATATAAAATCAAATAATTTATTTAATATATTTTAATTTTTTAATGTGATATTAATTTATTAATTTAAATTTAAATATTTTAAAAATATAATTTTATGATAAAAATATTTATAATTATATATCAAAATAAATATTATTAAAAAAATTATTTTAAATGTGTTAATTTTAATATTTATTTTATTAAAAATTAATTAATAATTATATAAATAATTTTTTAAATCAGATTTTTTATGTAAAACTTTTTTTCAACTTTACGTTGATTTCTTTAATAAATATGTTTTTTTATGTTTTTTTTTCTTGTGAATGAGCCTTAAAAGATCTTTAATTTAGTGAATTTTATTGTATAATTTTCTTCATTGATCACTGTTTAAAACAAATAAATCTCTATATTTATTTTTCAAATTTCATCGATAATAATAACTACCCTAGCTATGTATTTATAGGAGAAGAGGAGAAAAAATATTTGTATATATAAATTAAAATGAATTTACACATAAATTTATTTATAAAATTTCTTCTCCAATAAGCTGTCATCCGTAAATTAATAAAAATACCGCATATATTTTTTATTGTAATAATAATTAATTGTATTATTAAGAAGTAAAAGAGTGTAACATAAGCCTCTCTATTTTATGTTGGATTTGTGAGTGTTTAGTAAGAATATATTTTATTAATACTACTAGCATCGTTGCGATGGGAAATATAAGATTTCTGAGAAAGTTGGAAAGAAAAGAACTAGGAAATGAAATATAGGGATGATTCACATGTCATTGATTATCAATAGGAATTTTCAAAATAAAAAAATGAAGGATTCACACAGGAGCAACGAAGGAGGTTTAGACTAGTTTGATTGGATTATCGATGAGCGTGATGAGGGAGATGGCAATGTTGCAGAGCTTGCGGAAGACGGCGCTCTGAACGGAGAGAATGTCGTCGTCTCCGGGGATAGAGGCGTCGCAGGTGTCGATTGCAGCCAAGGCAGCTTTGAGCCAAACCTGTACTTCAGTGCCGTGGGACTCGATATACAAGGCAGCAATGGTGTCTTCCAGCTGGCTCTCTGCGTCCAAGATGTTCTCTTTGCAGTCGGCCAAACCTTGTTGGACATCAGGGTCGAGGTTGTCGTCGTTGATAAGCGTTTTGGCCTCGGTGAGGATGCCGGAAGCGTTTTTGGCAGCAACCCTCAGGGCAATGATTGCCAACTCTTTAAGGTTTGCGGTAGGGCTTGTGAGTGGGTCGGATTGGAGAACCTGAAAGCAGAGTTCTCTGTTTGGGTCGATTGTGCATGCCTTGTTGATTAGACTCATTCCTCTTAATAGATCCTGTGCAGCAGCCTGGTGTGCCATTGCAGCCACGCACAGAACGAACACCCATAAGAGTTTTGTGGCGTGTTCCATTTTTATTCGCAAAGGGGTGTCCAAGATGCTATTTTCCTTCTCCAATTTGATTTTCTGTGCTGCACACCAGGACGATGAATCACTGGGCCATCGGGGAAGGGAAGAACTTATAGTGGGAGACTGCCACTTATGTCCCTTCGTTCAATCCCTTCATTTTAGGACCATTTCGTTGGTCACCCCAAAATATTAGCGTCCAACCATATTTTGCGCAATCACACTCCTTCTTTTCCTGCATCTTTCTCTATTTTTGGCTGAAACTGCATCTACTTCCTCATCTTCGACCACTTCTCGTGCATGGTTAAAGGGGCATTCTGACTTTCACGCTCCATTAGACCAATAACTCTACGTACTTACTAGACAACTTTATTCGATTGAATAAAATGTTTTAGTGTTAAATCGGATGAAACACTAATTTATGTTTAGGAACTAAATTGCAGAACATACTTATTGCTTTTTAGGTGTTCGGCTTCCAGAGGTACACTTAGCAATTGCTTTTTACGGGTGTTATTATGGATTATAAAAATTAAGAGTGACAACTTAAAACAATGGAAAAAGAACGTACGTTTGGCAATTGCCTAAAAAACAGGGCATTAAGTAAGTTATCACTGGTAGTTTGACGGTAATTGATTTTTATTTCATATTTACTTGAATCATGTTCTTATGAAATAATATATCCAGAATCATATTCTCATAAATGTGTTTAGTTGATATTTAATAATTTTAAAAAATAAAAAAGATAAACGAATTTGTAAAAATAAATAGTTATTACATACAATCATTTCCATTCTAATAGGAATATTATATACTCACCATCGTCTCATGAGAATAAAAACAGTTTAAATTGTGAAGATGTCATTTTTATTGTCATTGTTGTTTTATTATTTAATTCACAATTTATTAGATACCCAGTTACTTTTTAAACATATCGTGGATCAGGTAAACATCCAACTCACTGAAGCAAATTTTCCTTTATTCTATAAGTCAAATCAAATGGTATACAAATTAATTAACTTGTAAAAAAATCTAAAAGTTGAAGAAGAATCAACAAATATTTTTTCATGGTTGGGTAACTTATACGCCTAGAAACAATGAAGAAAGAACAATAGAACCTAGTTCATAAATTCCCTACAATTAGGGGCTTTACAGAGACATGGAACCTTCAGTTCATCCGGCTCATCTACATCGAACAAGTAATTATACCTGTTGTTGCAACATTAAAAGACCAAAAAACATGTTAGACTAATTAACATCTTCATGTGCTGGGTGACACGTTCAGTTGAACATGCATGATTCTTCCTTATGTGCACAACACAAACATTAAAAGATATGCGGACACAACAAACCGTACGTTAGTTCTTCACCAGCTGAAACATTGGTCTTCGCAATAAGAACAATCCGATTCTCCTCACCCCTCAAGCACATAATCCTTGCAAAGCAGTTTGGCATGCACTGTAACAGGACAGGTGGGTTCATAAATTTTTTCATGAACAAATAATTCATTCTTGAACATCAACAAATAATTCGTCACAATAACCTACAGAATGGTTTATTATACGTGCCATATTGCCCTTATCCGTTGCGTCAATCATCACTTCATCACTGATCTTGAACAACTGCATAATTTATACCATTTGGCATAAGATGGCAGTACGATGAATCCTAACGTTAACAGGAAACATCTATAATAGAGATTTGAACAATGTGAACTAGGAAGACAAATGGAACGTGATAGAATAAGTAGAACACCAAAGTTCAAATCAAAATTCCCCATGCCCCCAACTAAAAACTTTAGCTTTATAGCAGCTTGACTATCTGGAAAGGGAGAGAGAATCAATTCCATGTTTAGAACACATGAAAAAAGGAACTGTTTTTTAACCCTCCACGTAGAATTAATGAGAATAAAATAGGCTGTTTATCTAAAATGAAAAATTTGACAAGTCTCATGATATTTATAGAATCTCCAAATAAAAACCATTTACATCTTTGGGATTTTAAAAAACAATGAATTCATCATTTTTATCTGTGAAGCGGACAAAAAGTGAAAAGCACACAAAAATCAAATGAAAATCTCATTATGTTATCATAATACAACGTGAAGCAGCACAAAGCAAGAGTGCAATACAGATAGATAACAAACAATCTTCAACAAGATACTCACATAACAATCTTTGCCTTCTGAACGATACTTTGCTTCCCTTAGGTCAGCAATACTACGTCGTACCTGTTCACCACGATATTCAACAACCTGCAGACACGCATAAAAAACATTTGCATATTGTCATTCAAGGAAACACGAGTATTATCTTACAATTGACCATCTTAAATAAATAAAGTTACCATTTCTCCTTCTTGTAAATCTCTACGAGCAAAGAGGCCCCATCCATGAATTCCTGATTTTCCTAAGCAAACCCTTTGATTTTCTGTCTTCTGCAACCCCAAAACATTGAAGGTTGAATAAATCAAGGCAGACAGAATGTTATTTAGAAAATAAAAATTAAGTTTTAATTTGAGCAAATGGAGAGACTAACTAACCCGTAAATGGTTAATACGTTCCTTAAGAGAAGAAAACTCTCGAGCTTGAGCATCCTATCACAGAACAACATTAGGACTTAGTAAAAGAAAAATCAAACAAACGGTAAAATAGCCTGTGGTAGAGTCACAGCTCAAAAAGACTAGTTATCCATTTCAAAAGCAACAGTTCGAACACCAAAAAAATATTACCTTGTTGCCATTCAATTGAGTTATTTCACTTAAAGAATGAATCTTTGGCCCCCCAAGCAAGTGAATTGAAGGCGCAACATTCTTCTGCCAATATAAGGGGAAATAAATTGAATGAGATCAAACTAAACAGATTAAAAAGATAAAGTCATTTAAAAATCACAAATTTTTATATTAAAAGTTGTGTTCTATAATATATAATTTTTTTTTTTACTTGAAATAGTGTTTTAAAATACAGCTTACTTATATCCTTCATATTTTTGAGTTAATAAAGATTTAGAAATGTAAAGTTCCCAAATCCAGATTACAGTATTTAGTTTGTTGGGATGCTGCTGAAAGACCGGAAAGGACTACAACCATGAACAAAAAGCTGTCAAATTTAATATAATTTTACGGCCACAATAGAATGTTCTAAATGATCACCTTATTGGAAGACCTTATGTACACACGACAGCGGGCAGCAGACAGAGGATCAATCTCATGAATTTCAGAGTTTGATGGTTCAAGAAGTTCTACATTCTTTGATGAAGCCAGCCTTGATCCCCTGAAGCACCGTGGGTGATTTTGAAGCGAAATTGTCGGTGAAAATACCTCCATGGGTGTATGTACAACCAGTCCTGAATCTAGGTTTGGGACCCTAAAATGACCTTGCTTAGCTATGAACATTCTCAAAAAAAAAAAAAAAAAAAAAAAAGAATCACATGCAAAATAAGTTATTGTACTTTAGTGACCAGAGATCAAACCTGTGAGTTGCACAGTATATTAGTGTCTTCGTTGTTGTAGCCCCATTCTTTTCTATGGAATGCAACTGTAAATATAAACAATATCAATATATTTCCCCAGCAGTGGTAATCATCATACAAAAAATGCTAATTTCCATAGAACATTGGTTTGTTCATATTCAAAATGACCACTAAACTTACTTCCATGATATATCCCATTCTTGACGCGCACGTCACATGAAAATGTGTAGCACACTTGCAACAACTTATACAGGAACCGTGGCTTTGTTTACAGATCACGCAGGTCTGCCATCAAAATAGACACGAAACATTAAACGATGAATCTAATCTAGGAGTATAGGACACCCAAACCCAACAAGAAAGGGAGAACCATAATGTTAAATAACAACCTAACCACTATCTTACCAATCAGTATGAATAAAATCATGGGAGAAGTGTTTGGATTTGTATTGAATTGAAGCTAGAAGATTATATTATGCGTGTTCAGGCTATAAATGTATTGTTGAAGTATAATTTATGATGAATAGAAAGCGTTTTGTAAAAGTAATATTTTAATGTACGAGTTCTTTGTTGGGAGAACAAATTATCAAAAAATAAAAAAATTGCATTGTATGATTGTAATTTTTTTTATACATTAACGAATGTATTAATCAGCATGGATATCAAAACAAGCACAAAGTTTTAAGGGTAATGCTAGAAAGAATATTGTAGGCTCGCAGCTGAAACCACTTGACAATGAATTTCACGTGTAGAGATTTCAGTCCAATGTTATACCTTCGAAAAGGAATTACGAGGAATCTTAAGGATTCCAGTGGCCGGTTCCATTGCCTCATGGTTTTGGAAAAGAACTGCAGGCTGAAACCAAGCGCAAGCGACATGAACCCACAACATCTCAACATCAGTTGGCTTCAGAGCCCCACCTGCAAAGCATTTTCCCCATATTGTAAAAGAAGATTATCAATTGATCGTGGCCAACAATAATGAAGAAAAAACAGTCATTCAAACGGTAAGTGGAAGTGCTAGGACTTTAGACATAATCATATTTCCATGAAGCTTATAGGAGGATTCTCCGTATCGTGCAAAAATGGGCAAAATTAATTGCATGCACAAAATGGTTTAAAGATTACAGATATAACATAATAAAATCAAGCCAATTTTGATATACATGAAAACTAGTCCATTTCTTGGTGAAAAATGAGTGTATTGGATACTGTCGTAGTAAAGTTAAAAGATTGGCATATGCAAAAACAGTCAGACTGCAAAAAAATTTTGATGTAAAGGACGTGCCTTTTACTGGGCAGAGGCAACATTCTCTCTCAACATCAGGAGTTTCACAAACTCTACAAACCCAGGAAGTAAAGTCCTGAACATTCTTTGCCCCATAGCATTCTTGGTGGACAGCCATTTGGCATCTGCACATAACATAATAGACAGTTCATCCAGAAAGTTAAAAATGAAATTTTATCATATCCATCAAAAGTCTACAGCTATTGGCCAAAGATCGTGAACAATGATGAGAACACCTGTTACAGATGATAATTTTGTTATATTCCCAATCTTCAACCCATCTGCAAATGGCACACCTTTCTGTTGTCCATTTTGCATAAACTGGTTCATACTTCTCTGAAAAATGAGGTAAAGGAAAATATAAAGTTCTCCCTTTCCAAGATATATTCAACAAGACATGTGACTTCGACGTGCCATAAGACCTGATCGCATAAAACAAAGAGGCTTCAATATGTAAAAATTTATATGAAATAGAAATTCACCTTGCAAAAAGGAGAGAATTTGTTGCTGATCTAACTGCAGGGGAATTCCAGCTTGGGCTTTGTGTTCAGTGATCTGAAGTAAATTTTATTGTTAGTTAAAAATATAACACATTATATGGAAAAATAAAAGCACGATATACACACATGACAGCACAATAGCTGCGTAATTGAAAATTGGAAGATGATTGAAATATAAGAAATGCAGACTCTATAGAGCACTGATAGAAATCCAAGTGGATAAATTTTTTCATCTATGTTAATACAAAAGAACCCAATTCACCAGTCATGCATCTAGTAAGACAAGAAATGACACAAACCCAATTTATTAGCGGTTGCATTGTGCTTTCTACTTTCACACTATGTTTCCATTTTTTGGCTTTGCAACCTGCATGTCTTTCCCATTCAGTAAGTGTATGCTTCCGTGAACCACACAAGCCGCAATTGCACATAACCCTGCAAGAAAATATAATAGAAAAGCTAAGTTAAATTCCTCTAGAATGACATAATAGTTATTCAATGGTTCCTTTGCTTGTGAACATATCCAGGTAGGCTAAAATCTAGAATCTAGATTAAGGGTAGTTTCATCCTCGTAATATTAAAAAAATAAATAAAATGTTGAAGACTTACAAATGAAGCTTTGGAATATAGATTCCTTCCATGCCATTGCATACCACCGCAAGATTTTCAGGTAAGACAAGTTTTCTGTTATTCTCCATTGATCTATCTCGAAAAATATCAAATTACAAGATTCAAATAATAAAATCAAAATGTTCGATGCCCCTAAAAGAATAAGGAACTGATCATTTCTACGTACATATTTTTTGACTTGTGTGCTTGTGACGTTGATAATTTACGAAGGAATTTTCCCTTGCAATCGGGGCAATAGTAATCCATATTTTCCAGATCCTTCATCAATTAAACTAATCAGTCTTCTAACATTTGTATCCAAGGATATCAAACAAACAAGCAAGACAAAATAATGAAAAAGGTGGTATCACCGCGCTATGATATTTTACCTTGAAAAGTTTACTAGAAATTTTGTCACACTCCGCATGAACCCAAACATTGCAACAATCACAACATACCTGTCAGAATTTAGCCCCACAGCCACAAGACCTCAAAAAATTAATTTTTTGCTTGAAATAAATAAATTAATCAAACAGATACATTGAGAAAGTAGACAATCTCACCCAATTCCCACCATCTGAATGGTGCCAAATCTTTTTGCAAATGCCACAATATTGTTTCGATTTTATTAACTGTTATAGTAGAACCGATAAAAAGTAATCAAATGTCAGCAACAAATTTATCCAGTCAAGAAATTGAAGACGTCTCGAGTGAGTCGTGGCAGAACCTTTGAACAAGGCTTGCAATAGTGCTGAGGAACAGAACTTGGATCTTTAATCTTCTTCACGGTTTTGCATGGCAACATCAAACCACAGCCAGCACAAGATATTGTACCCTACATAATTTATTCACCGGATAAAAATCTAGAATTAACCAGATTCTTAGGTTTAAAGATAAAATCACTAAAAATATTCCTTTCCTATGTATCGAAAGACATGAAAGCCTACGTTTTCACCAAAACAAGGAAGGAAAAAGCTTTATACAAACCGGCCAACTGATCCCGAATTTACACAATATATTGAACTAGTTCAGTTTCATAAACCATGATAATGTATCGACACAGGTTTTTAGAAAATCACAACAAGGTAACCTTCAATTTACACTTCTTAATCTTGATGAAAACTTTCCATTTTTTTATTTCGTAACAGTTGCCTTAATGTATAGACTAAACCAGGAATGTATACGAAATATGCTTTGACACAACCAGTGTGACATAACTTTACGACATTATGCGTGTGTCATTATATCAAAGGCATGTATCCGAAGTCTACGTGAGAAATTTGAACAAACTAAAACTATAAATATAGTACTCTGTCAGCAGAGGCTGTACAGCTATGCATGTGTTGTAAATCCTATGAAAACACAATAAGAAAAGCTTTTAAAGGAAACTGCGTGATTAGTTTCACTTTACATGCTGGGCTAGAAATCTCTTAACTTGAGAGTAACCGATACCAATGAAAATTCATAATACTAATAGTCCCCTTTGATTTTGCATTTTGGGCCATTAATAAAATACTCACTCATAGTATAGCATGCATAATTTGAACTGTAGGGAGTGACTACTAAGATGAATATCAGCTAATGCACTGTACCCTTTGTAATTAATCTATGTTACAAGTTCACAACATAACTAAACTTCTTTCTTGAGCTAAATGAAGCTTATAGATGTTTTCGTCATCAGTGTCGGCATGATCATACGCAACAGAGTGGAAGATGTAAAATTACCTGGTCTTGATAGGAATAACGGTGGCCGACACGGGAATCCGCACCCTCCACATTTTGGTCAGCTTCCAAGTGTAAGTCCAAAATGCCATCTTCGGCCAACATTGCCTCCTCCATTGCCTTGTGAAAGTCAATTGCTTTACTTTTGTAGAATCTGATCTGCCCCTGGAATCTGAACAAAGGCAATTTTAGTAAGCAAATACCAAACACGCTTGCAGAAACAACTGCAACATACACGTACCTGTCCATGAATTCCCAGAAGGGGAATATCATCCCCTGCTTCACCCACGCATAGTCCTGCCCATCATCATTCTCTTAGAAACATTTAAACACTAAAAAAACAACCAAAAACTCAAGTCTATGAACACATACTGGGTAAGAAATTTAGTGCCCGTTTGATTCCTTTCTCATTTTTAAGTTTTCAAAACAATTTTCTAAAACAATTCTACGTAACTCAACAATCAATTTCTCAACCAAACCTTACTTAATTTTGAAAATCATTTCCAAAATATGAGTCTTGAAAACCAACAAGTAGGAAAAGAAAATTGTCTCGATTCCTTCTGTTTTCATCTTGTTAAATATTTCCTTGAATTGTCAAAGCAACCTTATTTAGCTACCTTTTGAAAACACAAACAGTTTTTTCAAAAAAAAAAAACTTTACCCTTCGCTTTCCATTTTTGGAGTAACCAAAAAACATAACACAAAGTGCACCAGGAACACAATAGCTTATGACTGATTGTGGAGCTCGCAAGAAAGGATCAATGACTACAGCAGGCCAAGCAGGATGACTCTTCCCACATTTTGCCCAAACTATATCCCCCAAACAAAAATCCTCCAATCTGTAAACGTCCTTCCTCCTTTTACCTCTTCCATTCACACCCTCAGCATCACAACTTAGTCCAGGCTCATCATTATTATTTTCTTTAACAAACATCGAACGACAACCATTAACAGTCTTTTTAATCATCTTAACCGAGTACTCAGAATCTATTAACTCAGCAGAGAAAGGAAAACAAGTAGAATCTCTTTCATTACACTTGGCAGCAATGACTTGTGAAACACTCCTATTCTCGTCTTCAGATCGGACCCGTTCATAAAGAACTGAATCATTGAACCTGCAAGGAAGCTTCTTGACTCGACCTCTAGAAGACTGGGGTTGAATGACACAAGCACCTTCTTCTGATTGTTGGGGTAAGTCTCGAATTTTGTCATTTGAGTACACGGAATTTGAATTGGACAGTGCCTCACTGGATCCAGAGACCCCATCAGCAGAATAAACCCCGTTTACTTTCGACTTCTTCTGAATCCTCCAATTCCCGCTTTTTTCTGACTCGAACAGTTTCCGCTTTGGAATTTCAGATTTCATACTACGCTTAATGATCATCTTAAGAACCCTAAAGTGAAGGCCTTTGAATAAGAAAGAGGAAGCTCTGCCTGAGAGTGTGTACAGCACACAAAAATGTAGATCTGTGTAGAAAGAAAGTGGTGGTAAAGGTGCAAAATAAATTCATATGTTGCTATAAAAAGGCTTCTGTCAGGGTATATTTACATTATTTTATTTGATCCTAGGAAGAAATATAGATGCAGAGGCAGGGGATAGTGGTGGTTTTGTGACATTTGAAGAAAGTAGATTGGGGACGCAGAAATTGCAAATTTGAGAAAAAAGCGCCAATTCTCAATTTTCTTAATTGTCGTGATGGCGCCAACATTTGAGGGTTACACGTTAGTGCATGTTAGCGGACAATGATTCTATAGTTTTTTCAATTATATAAAATGGATTATTCCGGTTTTCAGTTGTAATCAGAAAATAACTACTTTTTAAATGTAAACAGCAATTATAGTAAAAACTTTGAATAAAAAAAATGTAATTAGTATTCTAAAAGACTTGAAGTTTTCAATTATGTTAAAATTAATTGATTATTTTTCTTTTAAGAATAATAGAATTTTAAAGTTTTATTCTAGGCTAAGTAACTAGTAAAACAAAAAAATCATTCAAACCCAGAACGGTTGGAATCTTTATTACAAATTAGAAAGAGTCGTATAAGCTTGTTACTTTGTGTTACATTGAATTGTTTGTTAGGTTTATTATTCCTAATTTTTTTTTCAGTTGTAAGATTTATTTAAAGCCATCAGAATTCATATTTGAAATGGATGCGTACGAAAGTGTACATCAATTTATCTGAAAAAGTTCCTATAAATTTACATTTGGTATCGGAGCTCCACCACGGAGCCTAATAGAGTGAGAAAACTACACATGTTTGAGAGGAAAAACACTATAGTAAGTGAGTTAAACAAGAATGTTTGAGAGGAAAAATACTAGAGTGAGTGATGGAAGTAAAATAGCATAATCAAGCAATTTCACCACACTATGTGTACCCAAATTTGTTCGAGACTATGATCATTGGAGTCTACTCATGCAGAATACACTTCGATCAAAGGAGTATTGGAATGTCATTGAATTTGGAATCCAATAACCAAAGGAGAATGAATCATTCAGTGCAGCGCAACAGAAGGCATTGGATGAAGCAAAGCTCAAATACCTGAAAGCAAAGAACTATCTATTTCAAGCCATTGACAAATCCATCCTCAAGACTATTCAATAGAAAGAAACAGCTAAACAAATGTGGGAATCCATGAAGATCAAGTATCAAGGGAATGCTAGGGTGAAACGTATACAATTGCAAAGGTTTTGACGGACATTTGAAACCTTAGAGATGAAGTCAAGAGAATCAGGTGAATGATTATTTTGGAAGAGTCATGAAAACAACAAATGACATGAGGGATTGCGAGGAGGATGTGAACGATGTGAAAATTGTTGAGAAGATACTTAGGTATCTGACAGACAACTTCAACTTTGTTGTATGCTCAATTGAAGAGTCTAAGGACATTGATTTCTTAATCGTGGATGAGTTGTAGAGTTCACTACTTGTTCATGAACAAAAAATAAGAGAGAAAAACAGTGAAGAACAAGTTATGCAAGTTGAGCATGACACACGTTCTCGACGTGGGAGAGGAAGAAACAACTCTCAAAGAGGAAGTAGCAACTATGTGATGTGAGGGGGCGAGGAAGAGTCAAGACATTTGTAAACATAAATACTATTATATGTTATCGGTGTCAAAAACAAGGACACTACCAGTTTAAATGTCCAAATCTAGAAAAGGCAAACTATGCTAAGTTTGATGAGGAAGAGGAGTTGCTTCTAATGGTACATACTGAAGTTTAGGGTACTAAGGACACAGGGATATGGTTCCTTGACTCTGGTTGTTCGAATCACATGACAGGAAATAAAAGGTGGTTTGTTGAACTAGACGAAAGTTTCAGACATATTGTTAGATTGGGAAATAACTCAATAATGTCTGTATTAGGAAAAGGTAGTGTCAAGTTTGAAGTGGAAGGACTAACTCAAACTGTGAATGATGTTTACTTTGTTCCAGACCTAACCAACAATTTGATGAGCTTAGGTCAACTCCAAGAAAAACGCGTGATCATCATAATAAAAGAAGATACTTGCAAAATTTATCATCCTTAGAGAGGGAAAATTTTAGAGAGCAAGATGACCATGAACCGGATGTCTGTAATTCATGCTACATTGAAACCACTTCCAATGAGATGCATAAAGGTTGAGGAGGAGAACTTGGAGGACTTATGGTATAGAAGGTATGGGCATGTCAATCATAAGTTCCTTGCTACCATGCAGAAGAAACAAATGATGAAGGGGCTACCAAAATTGAAGGAAGTGGCTGAGGTCTGAGAGCTGTGTAATATTGGCAAGCAACATTGAGACAAAATACCAAAGAAAAGTCACTGGAGAGCATAAAAAAAACTTGAATTGGTGCATGTTGACCTGTGTGGTCCAATCTCTCCAATCTCTAATAGTGGTAAAAGATATTTGCTAGTGTTTGTAGATGACTACTCTAGTAAAACTTGGATTTATTTCCTTGCAGAAAAAGGTGAAACATTTGAAATATTCAAATGCTTCAAGAATCTGGTTAAAAAGAAGCTCAGAAAGCAATATGTTGTTTACGAGCAGATAGGGGAGGAGAATTCACCTCAAACAAGTTCAATCAGTTTTGTATAGAGCATGACATTAAAATGTAATTAATAGTTGCTTTCGCACCACAACAAAATGGAGTAGCCAAACGAAGAAATCGAACCATTATGAATATGGTGTGTTGTTTACTCACTGAGAAAGAGATGTCAAAGACCTTGTGGACAGAAGATGCAAAGTGGATCAACCATGTGATCAACAGAAGCCTTACCAAAGCAGTAAAGGAGATGGTACCAGAAGAAAGATGGAGCAGACTGAAACCCTGAGTTAACTATTTCAGGGTGTTTGGATCCATTATCCACGTCCATATACCTGAGCATAAGAGAACTAAATTGGACGACAGAAGTTACAAATGTATCTTACTTGGAGTGAGTGACGAACCCAAGGCTTACTGTTTGTATGATCACAACAGGGATGTCATATTTGAAGAAGGAGAAAAATGGAATTGGATCCTGAACTCAGAATAAACAAAACAAAATACTCTTAATTGGGGTGATGGTGGTACTAGCATGGAGGACTCTGATGAAGAACCAATAGAAGTGAGTAATGCTAGCAACCTTAAGCATACTCTAGAACCTGAGGAACAACCAAGAAGAGAAAGAAAAACACCAAGTTGGTTGCATGATTACGAAACTGGTGAGGGCCTCTCTGAAGAAGAACAAGAGGCAGGTATGGTTTTATTTACGTCAAATAATGATCCCTCAAATTATAATGAAGTTGTGAATGATGGAAAATGGATAGAAGCAATGAAACTTGAGATAGATATCATCGAGAAAAATAAGACATGGGAATTAGTGACTTTGCCAACACATGCCAAGAAAATTGGAGTGAAATGGATTTACAAAACTAAACTAAATGAAGAGGGTAAAATTGAAAAATACAAGGCACGACTTGTTGCAAAAGGCTACACACAAACTGAAGGGGTAGACTACAATGAAGTATATGCTCTGGTAGCTTGATGAGACACAATTTGGATTCTGTTGGCTGTGGCAGCACAAGAAGGATGAAATGTGTACCAGCTGGATGTAAAAAGTGCCTTCTTATATGGGGAGTTAAAGGAAGAAGTATATGTAGAGCAACCTGAGGGCTTCATCAAAAAGGGAGAAGAAGACAAGGTATATAGGCTGAACAAAGCCTTGTACGAATTAAAGCAAGCATAAAGAACATGATTTAGCATAATCGAGAGTTATTTCCAGAGAAAAGGATTTACAAAGAGCAGTCATGACTATACCCTATTCATCAAGATAAGAGAAGAAAGAACAATTATGGTAAGTCTGTATGTTGACAACTTGATGTATACTGGGAATGATGAAGAACTGTGTGCAAGGTTTAAAAAGTCAATGAAGGAAGAATTTGAGATGACGGACCTTGGCAAAATGAAGTTCTTTCTTAGAGTTGAAGTAAGATAGAGTGCAAATGGAATCCATTTATGCCAAAAGAAATATGTTAGAGAGGTTCTAGACAGATTCAATATGTGAAATTGTAATTTTGTCAAAAATCCAATAGTGCCTGGAACTATGTGGTCAAGAGAAGGTGGAGAAAATGTCAACACAACCTTGTACAAGCAATTGGTAGGTAGTCTAATGTACCTAACAGCTACACGCCCAAATATGATGTATGTTGTGTGTTTAATTTCACGTTACATGGCTAATCCAAAGGAGGAACACATGCAGATTGCTAAAAGAGCCTTGAGGTATTTAAAAGGTACACTAGATTTTAGCTTTTTTATAGAAAAAGTAAAGTTTCAAATCTTTTTGCATATACTGACAGTGATTATGCAAGAGATGTGGATGGCAGAAAGAGTACTTATGGGTATGTTTGTTTGCTCAGTGATGCAGCAGTTTGTTGGAGTTCAAAGAAACAGGTCATAGTCACATTATTCTCAACAGAGGCTGAATATGTGGCAGCAACCTTGTGTGCTTGCCACTGTGTTTGATTGAAGGGAGTTCTGGAACAGATTGGAATTAAAAATTGTGAGTGTATTTATATTTTTTGTGACAACACTTCATCAATCAAACCCTCTAAAAATCCTGTGATACATCGGAGAACTAAACACATTGATGTTAGATATCATTATCTACGTGATCTTTCAAGTCAGGGAGTAGTGAAGTTAGTTTTATGTGGAACATAAGAACATGTTGCAGACATTATGACAAAGCTAATGAAGTTGGATCAGTTTGTGAAACTTAGGAGGCTATTGGGAGTACAACCACTTAAAGATTAAATTGTATGCTCATTGAGCATTTCAATTTAAGGGGAGGAATTTGTTGGAATCTTTATTAGAAATTATAAAGAGTTGTTACTAAAATATAGGCTTGTTAGTTTGTTAAATTTG